AAAGGAATCCCAAGATTGACTTAAGTATCTTTAAATAATAGATTTTAGTCTATGAAACTAAATTTTAGATTTGAGAGTACGATTACGCTTGAAGAAGGTTATAATACCTTCACAGCGCTCATCCAAAGGATTATATCAATTTGATTCCAAATTATCCAAGTCTTAAATGTATCTGTAATTTATCAACATATTTAATATTAAAAATTAATCCTAAAATTACCTTAATAGTTTAGTAGTAATTTAAGATAATTTTTTTACCTCAAGAGTATTATGGATACTAGGGTCTCATCTTGAAAAGGCTCCGTTGTTAGATTTATTAATGTATTTTATTCAAAAAAAATTAATAAAGTCCTTCAATAATTTGGTAAGATTTACTTTGAGGCAGATTTTCTAATAGTTTGGTAAGATTTTTATTCGAATATATTTTTGAAAATTCTATTTTTTTGAAAAAGTTCATTAAGTCTCCTAATAGTTTGGTAAGACTTAATTTAGAAAACAATCCTCCAATAGTTTAAAGGATAAAAAAATATTTTTTTTATTTTTTTATTTTATGAAATTTTTCAATAGTTTGGTGGATTTCATTTAAAATTTAATCCATGAAAATTCTTCAATAGTTTGGTAGGATCCATGAATTTATTTGAAAAGATTTCTTTTATTTATTTATTTGTTGTTATTTTTTTAAATAAAGATAGAATTTTATAAAATATTTAACAAATAATAAATTGCTTAATAAAAAAATAATAGATAATAAAAGTCAATAAACAAAAAATGAAAATAAAATAATAAATATAAAATTCAAAATATAAAATATAAAATAAATAAAAATAAAAATAAAAAAATAAAATGAAAATGAAAAAAAGAAAAACTTATGATTGGGTCGGGTTAGAGCATAGGTCAACACGCGGGTCAACGGGTTATGCACAGGTCAACGAGTCATGTGCGAGTTTGGGACCCTTAAAACGCTGTCATTTTGGGCTGCTATAAAAGCCAACCTTCTTCGTTTTTCTTAAGAAGCTCTTTATTCTCTCTCTCTAAACAAAAAAAATTCTCTAGCTTATCTCTAAAATAACCTAAAAATTTAACTGAAAACTAAAAATCTTTGCTGGTTTTTGGAAAAGTTATCGGAATACCACTGAAAAATTCAAACCTCATTAAAAATTTCAACCAAAAAATTCAAAGCTCATCCCAAAAACCTTGTTTTTCCAAAAAAATCTAAAAAATTCTAATATTTTTCCAGTTTTTCCATATCCTTCTAGAAAACCCCCAGAATTTCAATCTTAACCCCAGAAATCTAAAACCAAGTCCAGAATTCCTAAAAAAAATTAAAATCAAACCCCAAAAACCCTTTTCCAAAGTTGTGACTACCAGATTTTCTCACCCATTCACCCTGTCTATTCAATCAAACATTGTTCAATTTATAGGCAATCCTAAATCAACTTAGGGATCGGGCAAAACCAATCCAAGCTTGAATCCTGAGATTGGATTTTGCCCAAACTTGATTTTAAGTCTAATTCTTTGTTAATTTGTCTGAACTGAATAAAAATCCCTTAATTTAGTTCTAATTGACCTTTTTAATTAGGTAGATTGAATTCAATTCTAGATTTCAGTTTCTTTTATTGTCGATTAAAGAGGAAAAAATAAAATAATAATAATAAATAATATAATAATAATTTACTATAATGATAATATTATAATATAATATAATATTATGTACTATACTATACTAATATACTACATTGTAATAACATACTATACTAATAATAAATATAATAATATAATAACAATATACTATATTATAGTAATAATAATAACAAATAATAATACAAAAATAATAATAGTAAGGAAACTTAACCCTGATTGGCTTCGGACACTGATGGGTGTCCACAATATTTATAAGTTGTTTTAATATTTACTTGTGTTTTAATAATTTTTTTACTACTAAATATTTTTTAAAATAAATTTGATGTGGTTGTAAATAAATTTGCTATGTTTAGTTGAGATTTTTAGTGCTATAAAAATTAATAAATAATAATAAACAAAAAAAATATTTTCATATAATAAATAATAATGATTGCTTGAAAATAAAAAATTGATTATTTTAAGAAAAGTATTGAAAAAGTGATTTTAAAGAAAGTAAAATAAAAGATAACATTTCTAAGTAAAATATTGATTTGAAGACCATGCTTAAATATCGTAAGAAATTCAAATGATTATTTTTGCAAAGAAATATTATATATTTTTAAAAAATTTAAAAATTGTAAATTTCAAATGCAAGACAAATTTTTTAATTCCACCTATATATTGCAAAATTAGAAAACATATGAATAAATAAAAAATAAAATAAATACTTTTACAAGAAAGATGTCATTGCCATTTTAAATAAAATCCATTTGAAACATACAATTACATGTATTATTTACTTTATATTGATATTTTCATGTATGCATTCCATGCATTAATAATAAATAGTAAGGTATCAATTTTAACATTTTTTAGGAAAATCAAATAATGTTTTTTTAAAAAATGATTTTTGGAGACCTTATTAAAATATTGAAAGGAATTCAAATCATATTTTGAAAAATTAATTTTCTAAAAATTCTATCTAGATATTGGAGAATTAAAGAAACTTTTCCTTCAAAAAATAATAATAAATAGAATTTCTTTTATCCTTGATTTTCTTTCAAAAAATAATAAAAATAGGATTATTTAATTGATTATTTGTTTGTATTTACATCATTTATTTTGATTGTTTGTATTTGCATAATTTATTTATCTCATGTTGCATTATATTTTGAAATAAAAGTGTGAATTGGTAAATGATAATTTTGAAAGTTAGGTTTTTTTTTTTTTTTTTTATAAATAATGGTTAATAATCTTATCTAAAAATAATCATTGAAAACTTACCTAAATATTAGAGAGCTTATCAATAATTACTTTTTATGAAAGAATATTATAGCAAATTTTAAAGAATATTATAAGAAATCTAAATGGAGAAATATTCTTTAAAATTCTACCTAACTATTAAAAAATTAAAAAATGTTTCGATACGAAAAATTTTTATTTTATTCCTAAATAAAAAGTTTTATTTCTAAATAAAATGAATAAAATTTAGATTTTTGTTAGATAAAATTCAATTGGTTGCAGCATTTTAATTTGTATTCACATCATACATTTGTTCCACATGATATGTGTTTGCATTAAGTTCTTTCAAAAAATTAATAAATGGTAGTTTTTGGAAAATTGTTTTAAATAATTAAAAAAATTAATATTCTTAAGTAAAAATAATTTTTGAGACATTACTTAGATATTAAAAGGCTTTTTAATAATTATTATTTATCAAGGAATACTATGTGAAATTTTTTAGGAATTAATATGAAAAGCCCAAATAAAGAAATATATTTTGAAATTCTTCCTAAATATTGAAGTATTAGAAAATATTTCGATACTAATGACTTTCATCATATTCTTAAATAAAGAGATTTAAAAAAAAAAAAAGTGTTTTCATAAAAAATAATTTTTGAAGGAATTATTTTTAAATATTAAAATTAAAACTATTTTTATCAGTATTAAATATAACATACAATTAATTGGTACTATTTTTACAATAGACATTGTGGGGTCTTAATCTCTCTACATGTAAACTGTACTCATGAAGTTAGTTTTATTTTAATAAATCAAAATTATATTTTTGATAAATTTTAAACTCGTTTTATTATTTTATTAAACATATAAATTTTTTAGATGATCAATCACACTTTTAAAAAAATTTAGTGGCTATTCCCCTTATTTTAAAATTTTTAAAATTTTCATTTAGCAATCCCTAAAATATGACACCCTTTCTTATCCTAGTAAGTAGTTTGTACTAGGCATGGGACTGAAATAACTATCTATCGATAGTCATCTATTTTGTCATACCCGAATGTTTTTTCCATTGTCTACACACCATCTAATCCCAAGCTCCAAGACATCTTTTCCCAGCCAAACACTCCTCCAGGAATAAGATAGTGACTTTCCTAAATCAGCTTCCAGGAAGTTGGTATTAGGAAAGCACTTGGCTTTAAGTACTCTATGAACTAGTGAAGAGGTGTTTTGTAGCATATGCCACCTTTGTTTAGCAATTATTAAACATTTAATTTAAAATCAATTGTTAGTAAGTAGAAGGATCAAACTTGAATATAAAATTTTAAGAAATTAGATATTTATTATATGTGAAATAAATATATTTTAATAGGCTCTCATCACGTGTAAACAAAAATGGAAGAAATTTTAACTTTGATATCATATTAAGTATTTAACTTAAAGTTAATTAATCATAAGTAGAGTGATCCAATTTAAATATAAAATTATAAAAAATTATATATTTATTATATATGAGATAATTCATTTTAACAATAATCAGAGCTTTATTAAACAACTTTATATCTCTAAAACCCATACCACCCTTCTTCTTCCCTGTGCACATCTTTTTCCAGGCCATCCAATGGATCCCGCCTTTCTCAAATGATTGCTGCCACCAATATTTGCTAATGATTATGTTAATCTGACAGCATAATTTCAGGAACACGAAACAAGAAATTGCGTACGAGGACATTGATTGTAGCACTAATTTAATAACCACCTCTTTTCGCCTTGTGATAACCATTTATGGCTCCATTGTCTAGTTCTCTTGTCCATCTTTTCCAATATTCCTTTGAGTGCTCTCTTTTTCGCCTAACTATGAACATTGGAAGACCAACGTCTTTTTTAGGATTTGACGTGGCTTGTACACCGAAGGTATTCTTTGTCATTTCTGCAACATCATCACTTGTATTTTTACTGAAAAATAAACTCGATTTGTCATAATTGATCTACTACCCTGAACCTTCTTTATACAACTTTAGCAAGTCTCTCACACAGTTGCATTCCTTTTTATCTGCTTTAAACAAAAGCATAGTATTATCTATAAAAAATAAGATAGTGATTCTTGGGCCTCTAACACTTGCTCGCACACCATGTAACAAGCAATCCCACAGATACTTAGATAAGAGCATCAAGAGTCCCTCTATACATATCACGAACAAGGTAAGAAGGGGTCCCCTTGCTGGAGACCTCTTCTTGGAGAAATTATGTCAGTCACATGTCCATTAACAACCACTTTATAAGTAACAAATGTGGTGCAACTCATTATAATTGATCTCCATCTAGCATTGAGGCCTAATTTTCCATAATAACATTGAGACAGTGCCATTTCACCCAATCGTAAGCTTTGCTCATGTCTAACTTAAAGGCTACCCACCCATCCCTAACTTTCCTCTTCTACTTCATACTATGTAAGAGCTCATATGCAATAATGGCATTATCGGAAATCAAACAACCTGGGACAAAAGTACTTTGATTTTCACTTTACAAATAAGCAGAACTTGTTTCATCCTATTGGCCAGTGTCTTGGCAACAATTTATATAGGACATAACACAAAATTAGTCGATATTGGGTCATTCTCCTACGATTACTGATTTTGGGGATGAGAACAATACGAGTGTCATTAATATCATCCAAGTTACCATTCCTATTAAGCATATGTAAGCAAAATTCAACATCAGGTCCTATAATTTGCTAAAATTTCTAATAAAACAAAGCAGACGTACCGTTCAGTCCAAGGGCTTTATTTGGGTGTATCTGTTTAACGGCACCATAGACCTCCACAGTTGCGAACTCTAATAGGAGAAAATTGTTCATCTCATTTATGATGCAAGGAGATATTGTTAATTTCCAAGATTTGAGCTAGGTCAGATGGTCCTTGTGATTTGTAGAAATTATTAAAATAGCTTGTCCCTTGTTCTGACACATTCAGCTCTCCCTCATGCCAAATCCCATCTTCATCATCCACGCCTTATATTCAATTGACTCTTCTTCTCTGGGACGCCTGTGCATGGAAGAAACGTATGTTGTTGTCCCCTTCCTTGAGCCAGCTTACCCGAGCTTTTTGCTTCCAAAACAATTCCTCTTGCTTCAGCAAACTGTTTAAATGCGATTTAAGCTCCTTCTCCTTTAACAGCCTTGCTTCATTCATCATCTGCTGTTGTACCTTTTGGTGTTCTTTTTTTTTGTCTGATCTATTTTATCATAAAATTTTTCTTTACTTCATGCACTAAACTTGTCACGTGTTTCCTGTAGTTTTTATCTTCAATTTTCTGCTCATCACGTCCGCCCAGCTCTCTGCCATTGTTAATTTTATTTTGGGTCTTGTGATCCACATGGCTTCAAAACCCTTCTTTTTCCTTCTAGACAGCCCCGCCTTACCAACTTGGCCCCTTCTGTGTCAACCATGATCGGATAGTGGTCGGAGACAGAACAAACTAAATGTCGTACCAGATAATTCGGGAACTCTTCCATCCATGCTTTGTTTGCCACTGCCCTATCCAGCCTCTCTCATATACCGTTTGCCACTGTCTTACCCCTCCCCCATGTGTACTGAGGCCCTAGAAAACCCAAATCGTGGAGCTTTGAGTCTTCCAATAGTCTTCCAATACTGTTCGAAAAGCCTCTATTTGCCACGTCGGTCTCATGCCACCACCCTTCTTTTCACCATCCCACGTTATCTCATTAAAATGACCCGAACAAAAGCCAAGCCTGATGACTACTTCTAGCTAATCTACGTAACATCTCCCATGCAACGTGTCTTTCCCTGGTTGATGGTTCCTGGTAGAAATTCGTAATTCACTAGGCACTACAACACAAATTACTTGTAAGGGCACATTTATTAGTCTCAAAAAGTTAATTAGTTGTCTCTAAGTTATTTAGAGCCAAATAAAATTTCTGTTCTCAATGCTCCAGTCGTTAAATCTGTATAGCGACCTATTAGAGGCAAATAAATAAATAACTCTAATTTTACAAATAGAGACAAATATAATTGTTTTTGAATATTGTCTATTGCGACTATTTTTTTTGCCTTTAGGGACATCTTTGTACCTATAATTTTAGAATTAGAGACAACTAAATTTGTTCCTAAATTTAGATATAAAGACAGAAAAAATTACAAATAATTATAAATAGCAAGAAATGATGAAAGTACTAGCTAAAATCATTTAGGAACTTCAACAATTGCCTCTGAATATATTATTTTATTTTAAAAAATGATAGATTTATCATATACAAATTCTTATACAAATAAATAAACTATTAAAAATAATTCTTATACAAATTTAGTCCTTAAGTTACTTTCTATATTATAAAAATAAAAAATATTGGGTAAAAGGTTTCTACATATTGTATTATCATCCAAAAGAATCTTTGAAGAACTATAAAATCTTTGTAAGTGTAGATCAACAAGTTTACAAATTCTCCACTTTTAGTGATCTTCATTTGCAGTAGGTTTCTTGACAGACTCTTTTTCTTGGTATTACCCTGCATCAATGATGAAAGAAAATATTTCATATCCTATTGCAAGTAAAGTGATCAAAAGATAAAGAACCAACTATGACTACAGCAACCTCTTAAACATTAATTGAGAATTTTCCTTAACTGAACTGAACTAACAAATCCCAAATCATCTAGTTTTGATTTGTTGAATTTCCTATAACTAATTTCTCTAAGTTCAAAGACCTGAGAGCCTGTAATCAGGGCAGACGAAAAGAAAATCATAGAGACAAAAATTCATAAAGACAAGCATGAATCTTATTATCCCAAGTAAATAATTGTAATCTTTAACATTTAGGCAAACTAGCTTCTAATATGCTTGTAAAAAAAAAGGAAGAAGGGCTAAACTTTGAACTGGATATGCATAGTACTAACTAATAACAGATTTCATATCCCAATATGCTGTAAGCACAAAGTATCATTTTGTATGAATTATATTGGAGTCACCTAAAACTTGGACATGACTTACATATGATTCAAGAGTGTAATGACTGGAAAATAGAACTTTAACTGGTAGAAATACTGAAGACGTACCCTGATGAATTGTTGATTTCCAAAAAGGGGCTTGCATAATAGAGTTCACCCCGAACTAGTTCCATTATCCATATTATTTGAGAGTTTGGCCCAACTACACATTGAAATTCCTTGGATGAGAACAGAGATACGAATTGCTCTTGAATTGACATAATTGTTAGGAAATCTAGGTGCAACAATCATACCAGACAATTCCAAAGTTGCATTACTAGAGGGACTACATGAATGCTCATAAGGGCAGCATTCATCTAAGTTTGAAAATACTAAGGAATGTAGTTACAAAATAGAGACAGGGAAAGAGCATACATGCAAGCATGCTCATCAAATATAGGGAAAAGCCAATTCAGATAAACTGAAATTAATAGAAAACCAAATGAAACAAGTTCAATGAACTAGGTATGAAAGAGCTCACTAAAATGAAATGCATCGCTAATTTTTCTGCCCACACCTTTTTCTATCATCTATATTCTTGCAAGTTCACATGGCATGTTGCTTGTGCATGCTCCATTGACCTAAAGATTCACATAGAGGTAACTTATGTGAGAAGCATCGTATTTAATAAAACAAGGTGGATAAAAACATAGAGAAACTTTGAAGCTACCATGAGCTGCAGAAATGAAAAATGACCTTCTGGCCGACCATTCCAGTTTGGCACATGTCACAACGCAAAGTGAAGTTGGCAGTGTCAGTTTATCTCCTCTTCCTAAAAAATAAGCAGATGAAATTATATAAAATCAATTGAGGTCGAAAACTGATTGCTCAATCAAGAGATGCCCAAGCAAACTAGTTTTGCAAAGAAATAAGGAATGAAACCAAAGAAGCGGTCATCTAACTGAAGTTTATTCCTTAGTAGATATCAATTAAAAAGGTAAAAAGACAAAATGGGAACTAAGCTACAAATTTATTTGTTAGCTCTATTTCCTATATAAAAAAATGTCAAACCTAAGTTGGTTGATGTCAAACCGAAAGTATATAAATTATATAACGAATGCAATAAATGCAATATATATATATATATATATATATTATATAATGGAAGAAAAAAGAGAGCAAAATTATAATATAATACAAACCTAAAGAAAAATCATGGCTTAGCAGAGCTTAGAGGTGATCCAAAGATCTTCACGCTTCACGACACCATCTTCCAACAGCTTTTTCAGAACAGAACCAATCTGCATAAACCATTGAACGTGAGTAAATCATCAAAATTAGGGCATCAAATTAGGTATTTGCAACTCTAATACAGATTTAAGATGAAATAGAAGCTGAACTTCATCAATGAAAGTGATAAACTATAAATTTAATTTGTTTCATGCAATTACGTCTTTCTTATTCCCATAGACATGAGCACAATCGGTATGTCGATATCCATGCTACTTGAAAACAGAGCAATTGTTGAAGAAACGACAATGACAGTAACAAATGGTGGTGAGATGACAATCGTGGGAGTGAAAAGTGAAAACTAGGGTTTGATTTTCAAAATTAGGGGAAAATGAAAAAGATAAAATCTGATTTAAGAAAGAGATTTTGATTTTGATTTTAATAAGATTTTGATTTTGAAAGAGTAAAAAATGAATTTTACAGCTATGGAAAACCGAAAAAAAAAAAAGAAAAGAAAAGGGAGAGGTAAAAAAAATTTTATGAGAAAGACATGAGAGACAGGATTTTTCTTATTATATGACGCTAAAAGTGACCTTAAAACATTGGTCATTAGCGGCGGCGGCGGCATTTTGGTCATTAAAAAACAAAATAAAATACGATAGTTATGGCGGTTCTTCAAAAAAAAAAAAAAAAAAAAACTCTTAAAAGTACATTATTTTGTAATGCTTATGAGATTAGGTTTAAAAGAGGCACAAAATTGGGTTTCAAACCTTAATTTTTTAGTCGACCATAAGTTTTGGGATTTTAATTAGAAAAGTAAGTGGGAGACAGTTTGGGGGTTTTATTTTTAAGCGACTAATAAAGTAATGAGAACATCAAGAGATTTTAAAGTAATGGGAAGACAAAGTAAACGTTAAATAAATAAAAATAAATGTTTTTAATTGTTTGATTTAATGATCAAAATAATTTTAAAAAAGATATCATGATTGTGATTTAAATTTTAATTTTTTTTTTCTTTTTCTCTTAATGTGAAAAGTTTTGATCTTCTTGAATGATCAAAAAATTTATAGAGGCAAATAATATTATATACAAAGTAAAATATTGCTTTTGTCCCTTAAAATTACATTTTAGAGGTAAAAATGTTATTCGTCTTTAATAACAAGTTGTGTTGTAGCGAGGCTTATCCTTTTCAGTCCACAACTCCCTTTTGAAAAACTCCATAAGTTCAGTGTCACTTCCTCCTTCCATAGGATTGCTAATTCTCCACTTCTACCGTTCGTATCAACCACAAACATACCACCTAGCTGACATTGTCTTCTTATTTGGTCTATCTTTGCATTATTAGAGATAGTTTCTGAAAGAAATACCACCCCAGGATCTTTCTTCTTAAGGATATTCCGAAGAGCTCGAACTGTGCACAGGTTCTCAAGCCCACCATAGTTCCAGGCTATGATTTTGTTGGGACTGGACTAGTCCCCGCCGTTTCCTCAAGTTTGTCCCCATTATCATCTCCTTCGTCCCTTTTACTCTTTTCCTTATGCTATCCACCTCCATGTCTACTATCTCATTACTTCCCAGTTTTCTTTTCCCCATATCACCACTTTCACAGTTGTCGTTGCCTCCTTTGCTTCCCTGGCCATTTTCTTCCATTTAGGTCATGAGTGCACCCTTTGATCCTCTGCCTGTCTCATATCCCTATTAACTACTTCATCCCTTCTGTACATGTCTCCCACCAAACCCTCTATATCTGCCATCTTCGTGCTTTCCTTATTTGGATGTATTCCATCGTATTGTTGAAAATCCTTGTGTATGTGACCCCATGACTGACCTCCATGGTTAGCTTCTCGCTTAGGCCTTTCATGTTGGGACCTACCATCTTATCATTCTTCTCGTCTGTGTTAGGCCTTGGTCCACGAATCCTATAACCTTGTAAAGATCCCAGGTCAACTTCAAAACTAGTCAATCCATGCCCTTTCGTGCTGGAACTACGGGATCTTCCTTCCCATCATAATCCAAGCTCAATCCCGGAATCTCCGACCTCCTGACTTGCCGTATCCCGACTTGCATGCACCTCACTGTTACCCGGATCTGTTGCCAAATTCAGTTTCCGAGCAACTCCCTCACCGGTCACCGTCGTAGAATGCTTGTCATCGTGGCTGGTTCCTTTCCCTTTTCCATACTCCTTACTTCCTATATTCCCCTTCTCCCATAGCGTAGGTTTGTTTTTTAAAGGTGAAGCACGGAGCCAAACCCCCATACTGCCTTATAGGCGATGATTAACCCTCCTACCTTTTTCCAGCTTCGCACTCGTCCTCAACATTTCCTAGTCTTCCACAGACATAGCAAAAACTAGGCAACCTTTCATTACTTAATCTACCTTATACCTCATTCGCTTCGCCTCCTGTAGTGAGTAACACAACCCTTCTCATCGGTTTCGTTGTGTCTACTTCAACTCTGATACGCAAAAATCAAGCCCTACCTCCAACTTCAAGTGTTGGATCAATTGATTTGAGGATACCTGTCTTCTCTCCGATACGGGTTGCATTCTTTTGGTTCCTCATACCTAAGGGCAATCCATATACCCTTACCCAGAAGAGTACAGTAGAGAAAATATAATCCTCAGTTTTCGGTCCACCACCGTATTCGTTGAATAGAATTAACGGTTAGTCAAAACTCCACGGCGAACCATCTGTCACTCTCCCCATGTCTGTTGTAGAAGAGAACTTACAAAAGAAAGAGGTTATCCTGTAGATCCAGGAATTTAAATTACGGTAGATGGTTACGTTTTCGGTCGTATTACGTTTGTTACAGTTGCGGATATAACGAAGACTTTCGTGATCATTGCGGCTATTGTGGCTATTGGTGAAATTTTTAAAATTTTGCTCAACTTGCTATAAAATATAATAATTTTAATTATTAATCATAAAACCTTTTATTTTATGATTTTTAAAGTAATTTATATCATATCATGTGTTTTATTTATTTAAGAAAAAATATTTATAGTAAAATATTCATATTTAAAAAATTATTTTTATGATAATTAAAAAATAAAAAGACATAAATAAATATGTGAAAAATAAATAATCATAACGAATAATATATTTAATTATTTAATTATCGTACTCATCAAATTATTACGGAACTATATTATGCATAAATCAAATAATAAGTGATTAAGTATTCATAAATTAAGTAAGAGCATTATTATTTATGGTCAAAAGAATTGCTTTTTATGAACTTACAGTAAATCAAACTTGACAGCTTCCATGTTATGGTCGATTTTCAATAATAATAACCTCAAGTCTACTTCTCTTGTCTCTTGACTAAATTGCACAGACCCACACAACTTCTTATCCCTTCACCTTGCATTCAATAATTTTTTTCTCCAAACCTTCATCCTCATCCCCATCTCTCAGTTCTCTTTTTATTTGGTGTGTGCTATCTGCTTGTTTCTATAAACCTTAACTTTTACTCTTATCTCTTATCTCTTATTTTAAGTCCCAACAACTCTTGCCTCATTCTATCAATATAACATAGCCCAATCTAATCCCAAACATACAAAACCATGGTAAATTTGAAAATTAAAAAAAAAAAGATAATTTGAGTGTTGAATTAATTGTTTACTTTAAATTGCATATACTTGATTTTGATTGAAGTTGAACTTGAGAGAATTGATTTTTTTGAAAGTTTAAGTTTTGTGGGTTTTTTTTTTCTGAATTTGTAAATTGATGTTTATTTTCTTTCTTGTTGTTTTTATTTTAAGTTTTTAAACAAAATCAAATGAATTTTTTTTTTTTTTGAATGAAAATAGGAATAGCTGCAATAGCAGTAATAGCAGGCAATAACGGACCGTTATTGCCGCTATTCACCGTTATATTGCAATTCACGGTCGTGATTTATCCGCTATAGATAAGATTCAAATTCTCTTCTGTTTTTTCTCCAATAACAGTGGCGGATAGTGACACGATAGCGAAATAGTGGCCGCAACACGCTATCCGACCGCTATTTGAATCCTTGTTAGATCTACAATATCAACTCCCTTGCCAGCCTCCAGATTAACTTAAGTGTACTCTTCATCGCCTCCTTATTATCAGAACGCTTGGTAAATAATTTCCCAACCAGCCATGCCTTCTTACCATCAGTCCCTTTTCCTGCCTCCAACGTATTTGCTTCAATCCCATCCTCTTCCTTTTTCTGTTAACTGTAACTGCTTCCAAAGAGCCTCCATTTCTTCCTCCATCCTCCTTATCTCAAACTACACTGTCACTCTGATTCTCGACCGCCACTATCAAACTGATTCTCGAATACCACCCTGCTAGACAATCTTGAGACAAACTCTCTTGCACTTCAAACAAGACTCACTAACCCGTAGAGAGATACAACTCTCATGAGACTACTTCTTATCACTGTATAGTTCACTTTATCCTATCATTAACTTATGGGAATATGCAATTCCAAAAAAGATATGTTTTAAAAGTTAATAGATAAAGCAAATAAAAGATTTTGATTTTGAAATTGATTTTGTTTCATTCTTAGATTCTTTTAATATATTACTTAGATTCTTTTAATAAATTAGACCTAGATACTTAAGACTTTCTTTTGGAGTTGGTATTAAAAGAGGCTTTCTTTCGGAGTTTGGTTTTTATATTATAAAAAATCAAGAGAGAAGAAAACGTATGTCCAAAAAATTAGAAAATTAAAAAAAAAAAAAAAAAAAAAAAACATGAAAAGAGAAAAAAAAAAAAAAAAAAAAAGCAATTCTTTCCAGACTCTAATTCTACATAGTTAAAAACTACTCCTTTCGACGTGATTTCGCTATTCAAGAAAGATTTGAAAGAAAAAAGAAGCTCACACATCCTTTACTAAGAAAGTTCTTTTTGTTTGTATATTATGCAGTCGACAACAAATTCTGGAAAGGAGGTAATCTCATTGATTCCTTTATTATTATGCAAAGGATATTATTTAGCCATGTGTTTGCATAATTGTATGTGTTAGTTTATTTAAATTAAATTTTAAACTAGACACTATCACAAACCTACACAATTTCAAGTTGAATATCCCATCGGAAACATGGCCTCTGCTTATAATATAAGAGAGCAAGAAGCATAATTAACACAAGCATGGGATAATGTCACACTAACATTTCTGAAACAGATTATTTAGTACCAATATTCAAGGAAGTGGAATGATCTGAATGAAGCATGAGAAACAACAGGATGTTGTTTCAATCTACATTCTGCAAATAAATCTTATTGTTTCTTAGCATGCTTCTGGTAAAAGGCTTTTATCCTTCTAAGGCCTTCTTCAAGAGTTGAGATTTCACAAGCAAAAGTTATGCGAAGCCAATTCTTCATTCCAAATGCCATCCCTGTATAATTTGTGGCACAGGTGTCAAAAGATTACACAGCAAGCACAAAATCTTGATATTGGGCTTCCGTTCTTTTAATTATTCTAGAAACCAATGTTTTGGTTTTTGCTCCAACTACATGTAATTTAGAAACATAAACTCCTGTTCAAGAAACTCGAAGAATTTTTCATATCTTACCAGCTGGGACAATAATGACTGACTCCTCTTTAGCCAGCTTCATGCAGAAATCCATGTCATCATTAATGTCTTCCAACAGTGAAAGATTCAGCTTCACCTGCACCATATGTCAATAGCTAGCAACATGTTCTTTATGCTCTGCAAACAAATTATAAAGAAGATTGATGGTCTCACCATTACAAACATGGACCCTTCTGGTTTCTTTGGGCAAGTTAGGCAAGGTACCTCCTTAATTCCATCATAGCATTTGTCTGCAGCCTCTCTTAGCGTAACAATCATTTTCGAAAAGAAATCATCCTTTGTATTCTCCAGGATTTGGGGAACTGCTCCCTAATTCATAGAACACAATTATATATTTTCAGAGGAAAAACAAGAGAATAACAGCTTCCTATATGTTCAAAGTCAAGCTTAAAAGATCTGTTGGAATATAAACATTGAAGTTAGAAAAAATGCACTTGGATTTCCAACACCAAGCAATAAGCATTTAAATCCAATGGCTCTTTAGTGTGAGAATGGCGTTGTATTGTCTTTAATTCGTTCTTTCTCTTCAAAAGTTGATATATTTTTCCGACAAAATAGTATTTTGCATCGATCACAAACCTGAATGAAGGTTGCAGGATCAGTAGAGATATTGAGATAGCCTGTAATTGACTCCACAATCTGACAATAATGGATCAAGAACATTACTTGAATTATGAAAGAATTTAAAATTAAAAGGTGAGATCCTGAGCGTCATTAGCCAGAGAGACGGTCAGAACTCAGAATTCAGAAAAAATGCTAACCCCAGACTTCTGAAAGATGCCATTAGGATCACTAGTTACAAGCCAACCAAGTCGCCAACCAGGAACGATCCATCTCTTTGATATAGACCCAAGAGTAAGGACTGGCACAATTGATCCAAATACTCCCATTGGCACAAAGGGAGTGCTTCCAAATGCAAGATGACCATAAACTTCATCAGCAATAACCAAAATTCCAAGCTTTCTTGCGGTCTCTGCAACCTAACATTCAAGAAATCAACAATTTATGTTGTCATTATCAAAAAATAAGAAACAACTAATATTGCAATAAACTCTAAACAATAAAACGTACAGGAAAGATAATGAAACAAGCATTAAATATTTACCTTTTTCAAATGGTCATAGCTGTAGACACTTCCACAAGGATTACCAGGGTTTATAATAACCATGGCAACAGTGTTGTCATCTGCTAGAGCTTCAACGGCATCAAGATCAACTTCCCAACCCTTATCAGGAAGAAGATTAAAGTGACGGACTTGAAGATGGCCATATGCAGCACGAGAATCATAGAATGTAAAGCCTGGTCTTGGGAGCAAAATGTTGGCACCAGGGCGGCTAATGGCTGCTAATGCAACTTCGATTGCTTGTAGGCATCCACTTGTAAGATAAATATCATCCGCAGATAACTTGTAGGGAAGGTCACGATTAAGATAATCTGCAATGGCCCTGTTAGAATCTTAAAATTATTAAATTTGAAAAAATATAAAGCATTTGCAATAAATAAGTAAATTGTTACTTTATAGTAAAACTTTCGTTATGGATTGTGTCATAAAGCATTCTAATTATATATTTTTCTCAAAGAATAAGTTGAAGATTGACTGTAAATTCAGTGTCCAATAGGGACGGATCTACGGTAGGGGAAATTGTTAGGCAAAAAACTCTTGATACAATCACACCAGCGAAAACAAAATCAATCAATCAATTAATTACATAAGAGATAATAATTTAATGTGAATTAGTTTAATTAGCCTACGTCTACGAATGAAAAACAAGATCCACTAATTGCAAAGAATTATATAAAAACAAATTATATCAATCACTCAACAAATAATACCCATAAAACACTCTTAATCTCCTCTAATCTTATGGAGTATTTTCAACCCAAATAAGCACATACCCTTATGCATCCTTTCAACACAAACAAGCATATACCCATATATACCCATTTATCATACCTATGTGGACTCTCTCAATCTCCTTTAGTCTACTAACAAACATACAAACATACACACTCATAAGACGTAAATATTCAGTAATCTTATAGAGTGTCTACCAATAAAACACTATAACTCTTTACATCTTTTTCTCATATCTAACTTTATAAAAACTTTACTTATTTATAATCATATAAACTTGTCTATTAATAATTTTTTTTCTCTTAAAATTTTTTTTCTGTAAGTCAAACTTATTTATTAAAAATCTTCTTTTTCTCTTATAATTTTTTTTTACAAATTTTTTGTCCATTAAATAATATTTAACAAATCTTAAATAAATCTTTTACGAAATTTGAATTACTATTTTCAACAAAAATAAGAGCAACTACCCCTAAGATCAGTATGCTACTTGAATATTTAATCTTTAACAAAAATGGTTAAAAAAAATGTAATTACTCTATATTTTACCCCCAAAATTTGGAAAAAAACAGAACTTTAAATGGAAAAAGTAATCAAGAGAATACTAAAGGTAAACAATAATTCAGTTTTCCTTTAACCATCAATCATGATATTTTTTACTTTTTTTACTTTTAACTTTACAGCTGACAATGGCAAGATTGTTGGCTTTTCACCTTTACTTTTGTTTATAAAGAATGAAAAAATCTTTATTTTCTAAGGCTTACAATTAAAAAAAAAATGGAAACCAAATCTTAAAAGCTCATGACAGAAAAAAAAAAAAATCTTAAAACCTCGGGTCTCTCATGTAAAGAAATCTAAAAGGGTATTTCGGTCGAAAAAAATAAAGTGAAAGGTTGTCTTATTATAAAAGCTCATATGTAGCTTTCTTCAATTTTTTTTGACCTTTTCAAACCAATAGAATTTTTAAGAGAAAAGACTAAAAAAAGTTAAAGGAAGAAAGAAAGCTATTAAGCCAAAGAAATAAATTAAAGAGGGGAATTTTTTTTTTAACAAAATATTTAAGTTTTTTTTTTTTTTTTTGCATTTTTACAATTAATTAATGTGATAAAATATTTCTTTACTATTTGAAATTTTTTATGTTGATGTAGTAATTTGATTTAAGATTAATTTATGATTCACTTATATTTATATTAAATATCGATTAAGAATAAATAAAGTCTTATATTTTTTGAGGTTAAATTAAGTAATTTGATTCTTTAAGCTATTTGTCATATATAAAATTATTTAATTTAATTTAATCTTAAAATACATAATAAAGTATGCATAATGATCTTTTTTTTGTTTGTGTAATTGTGTTTGAATATATCTTTTTAGTCCTTATGAATTACGTAAACTAAATTATTTAATTTAATTAGTTGTGAAAATTTTTCTTATTAAGAAGAAATCAATTTTTAAAGAATCATCTAAAATTAATATTAATAGCACAGAATATTCAACAAAGCAAGCTCGTGTTCAATTAAACTTAAATTATCTTCCTTCGAATCTGGAGTTACAAAAAAAATTTTGGATTATACCCAATGATAGAAATAAAGTTTGAAAAGCTTATTTTTAAAAGGGTGCATGTTAACCTTATGAACATAATATTTTATTCCTTTTGAATTACATAAACTAAATTATTTAATTTAATTAGTTATGAAGAAATTCATCATTAAGAAGAAGTTAATTTTTAAAGAATCATCTTAAATTAATACTAATAGTATAGAACATTCTACAAAGCAAGCTCATGTTGAATTAAACTTAGATGATCTTCCTTCGAATCCAAGGTTACAAAAAAAAATTTGGACTATAACCCCAGTGATAGAAACAAGGTTTGAAGAGATTTTTTGTAAAAAAAAAAAAAAAAACATGTTAATCTTATGAATATAATTTTTCTCAAAGAAAATTTGGAAAGACACTATGTCTTTTTATTCCTACATGATTCAAAAATTATGCTAATTGATTGAAATATATTGTAGAGAATGATACCACTTTTTGCTTGTATTGTTATCTCTATGGGCCAGATATTGGAAAGCAAGCAAGTGGTGATTGTTTTATTTCCAATGGACTCACAAATTGAAAAAATAAAGAAAGATTTGGTATTCATGTTGAAGGTCCTAATAGTGCTCATAACAAAGTTTGGAAATGTTGTCAACATTTACTAAATCAAAAAACAACGCATCCAATTTGCTTTTGCAAAGCAATCTAATCAAGCACAAAAAGATTATCGAGTTTGCTTAGCTGTGACATTTGATTACACTTGATTACACTCTCTTTCTTTGATGTCAAGTTTTGGCATTTCGTGGTAGAGATGAAATTGAAAAGTCTTACAATCAAAGAAATTTTCTCGAGCTTTTTAGATTTCTTGCAATTACATTTAAACCATCAATAATATGATCATGGAAAATGCATAAAAAAATTCAAAACTGATAGCACATGATATTTAAAAAGATCAACCATAATTAAGACTACCGATACTATCATGGAAGATCTTGGATATGAATTATTTTTTATTTTACTTGATAAATCTTATGATGTTTTAATCAAGAACAAGCCTTTATTGCTTTGTGCTATATGGGTTCCAAAAAGCATGTTATTAAATGTTTTCTTGGTATAATAAATGTTAATAATACAACTACTTTGTCACTTAAAGCAACTATTAAGACATTATTCTCTAAGCATAATTTGAATATGTCAAGAATTTGTGAGTAAGATATGATGGAGTAAGAAACATGTAATGTGAATTTAATGGTTCAAAAACTTTGATCATGAAAATGAATGCATTAGTTTATTATGTTAATTGTTTTACTCATCAACTTCAATTGACACTTATAATCGTGGCAAAAAATCATGTTCAAATGCATTGCTATTCAATATTGTGACAAATATAGTAAATATTGTTGGAACTTCATGTAAATGAAGATATGTTCTTAGAGAAAAGCAACTTAATAAAGTTGTTGAGGCATTACAATTTGGTGAATTTTCTATAAGAAGTGGTTTAAATCAAGAAACAAATCTTCAATGAGTTAGGAATACATGATTTGGTTCATATTATGGGTCTTTGATAAATTTAATTCTTATGTTTAGTTTCGTTATTGATGTGCTTGAAATTGTTATAAAGGATGAGATCAAAATGGAACAAAGGCGTGCAGTTTGTGTCTTATTAGATTCAATTCAATCTTTTAACTTTTCTTTCAACTTGCATTTGATGAAAATATCTTTGGTATTACAAATGAATTGTCCTTGGCATTGCAAAGGTGAAATCAAGATATTGTGATTGCAATGGCTTTAGTTAGAATAGCTAAGCAATGGCTACAAATTATAGGAGATGATGGATGAAAATCTATACATAAAGAAGTTTCTTTATTTTTTGAAAAAAACAATATTGTCATCCCGAATATGAATGATATGTCTGTAACTCGCGGAAGATCAAGACACATTATTGTTGAAACTTTTAAGAGCTTAGATAATGACAAATGTATATCATTATTAGTTTGAGTTTGTTTTACATAGTAATTAATTTGTTACTTCAAGAGTTCAACAATCATTTTAATAATATGGATATAAAATTATTTATTTGTGTGACTTCTTTAAATTTTTGTGATTCTTTTGTAGTTTTTTATAAAGAAAAGTTGATTTGTCTTACTCAATTTTATTTGGCCAAATTTTCAAATGTGAACTTGTTCTTGACAATGAATTTGAAATTTATATTATTGATTTAAGATCTTATGACGAGTTTACAAGCTTGAAAAGTATCAATGACATCTTCATAAAACTTGTGGAGACAAAGAAACATATTATGAATACATCAGTGTACTTATGAAATTAGCTTTAATATTATCAATTTTTATTACATCAAATAAAAAAGTACTTATTATTGTGAAAATTATTAAGAACTGTTCACGCAATCAAATAGGAGATTTTGAGATGAATATATCTATCTTTAATATTGATAACGAATAGTTTTTACAACACTTCTAAACTATGAAAACCCGTAAAGAAAAATTGTAATGTGTTATTTTTATGTAAAACAAAATAATTTTTTATTTTTTATCAATTTATATTTAATATTATATTTATTAATTTGCTACCACTTAATATAAATCTTCGAACCGTTCCTGGTATCTAGAAACCCTTTTTTTTTTTTTTGACCTGCAAGGATTTGCTCAGTACATCATCTATTTATCTACATGGTCTACCGAATTTATAAAAAATTAATTTCCCACCGTCTTTTTAACAAATTCGAACCCAACATTCAGACAACACAAAAAGACGAACATTATCTCGTTGCCACTTGAAGTATATAACCGGAGGCTTTATAAGTAAGTTTCCAGAATACATACCTTCTGGCAGATAGAAGTCCAACAGTAGGTGCATAACCATTATACTTGGCTGAATGGAGGGCATCAACTATGGCATCTTCAGCTATTGTGGAAGTCCTAAAGCATCCAAATTGTGAGGGATCGCCGTTGCCGAGGGGAATGCTGGGTCTTGGATCATCCATGCTGAGATTTCCATTTAACAGTTCAAGAACTCCTCGCAGACTGATTGCTGTTGCCGCGTTCAGCTCTTTGTTCCCTTGGAAACGCCATTGCTTTGGACCATTTTCCATCTTCTTGCTTGTTCGTGTTTAGAGTTTAGTACGGAGTAGTAGTCTGCACTATGCACGGGTCTGCAGTTTCGATTTAAGAAGGGACAAGCTGAAGGAACTTTACCCCACTTGCGAAAAGAAACAAACGTGTTTGTTTTGAAAAATGTTCGATGTGAAATTTTTTTTTCGTTTGTTTTTAATTTTTAATTTTTAAATATTTGCTTTTTATGAAAAATATTTATCAACCACTTGGTTTTTTTTAATACATAAATTAAACTCCAAAAGAAAATCGTATTTAATAAAAAAAATCAAATCCCAAAATAAAGTGTGTTCCAAAAATCTAGAACTAACGTATCAAAAGAGCCTAATAGCTATGATTCAATGCATCAAGTAATCTAAAGTTATATTTGATATATAAAATTATAGATAAAATAATATGTAATTTTATATATTATATTTAATTTATATCTAATTAAAAAAAAAAAATTATAAATACAAAATAATATAATTTTTTCAAAATAAAAAAATAATTTTTAATTTATAAAATTAAATTTATATGTCTAATTATATTTTTAAAAATTATATCAATAATTTAAATTATATAAATTTTAAAAATAATATTTTTTATCAATAAATAAATTATTTTATTTTAAATTTTATATATATCAAATATAAGATAAAATAATATTATTTAATCTAATTATATTTATAATATTATTTTATCTTTTATTATTATAATTTTATGTATTAAATATAATCTAAATATATATATATCAAAATCTATTTCAAAATCAATTTTTTTTTAATTTTTGTTTTAAAATTAATAAAAAAATATTATTTGCACGGCATTATATTTCTGACAAAAGTAACAGATATCTTGTGTCAAACTTATTTGAAAAAAAGCATAGATTTTCAAATTTATGGAGGGTAGCAACTAGCACGTCCTTTTCTTGGGCCCATTAATTTCCGTCTTTTACAAAGAAACAAAGCAATTCGATCACAAAAGCCAATGGTATTAATTACTAGAATGATGCTCCCGACATGGTTGAGATTTTTTAAAAAATTATTTATTAAAAAATATTATTAAATTAAAAAATTATAAATACGGACAATATTCATTTAAAATATTAATAACAATAATAATAAATCAAGATAATTATTTTAAAATATTAATTTTTAAAATTTAAAATAATAATATTTAATTTATTGAATTATTAATTTTATTTATTTTGTATTCTTGACTTTTTTATTGAAATTTAAAATTTATAATTCAAGCATAAAATTCAAAATTAAATAAACAAAAATAAAAAATCTTCTCTTAATTTAGTATATATTCTTTTACTTATGATTACTAATCATATATGTCAAGTATGGAGTCTAAGCTTATTTTTTATTTAAATTGAGTGAAATACTATAATATTATTTTTGGAAGTTAACTTACTATATTATTCTTATTTTAAAACTATATTATTCTTATTTTTAAAGTTGTTTAGAAACATGTCATATAAAATGCCTAAAATTTTATATTGTTGAAAAGCTTTTAAAATTTAATTTTGTTAATATTATTATTTAAAAAATAAAAAAATAATTTAACTTGCAAGGAACAATACAAACATAATAAATAATAATAAAAATATCCCATGATGTAGCTTTTTTTTTAGTAAATTAGGTATATGGTATATAGGTCCATTAATCTAGACATTTTTATTGAGTCAAGACAACAAATATTGATTAGATGCACTAAATTACCCCTTTTTTTTCTTTTATTTTCCTTTCCCAAAAATAAAATTAGAAAAATAAAACATACTCACTTTTTTCTCTCACTAGTTTTCCGCTGTGACTCTTTCTAAGATCTAATCCCCTCACTTTCTTGCATACTCCCATTTCTTTCGTTGACTTAGCATTTATACGAAGAGGGAAATTACTGATTTGGTAATAAATTGAAGTTTAAGAATAAAATTATTAAATTATCCTTATAATTATTTTTATGACACATAATCCGTTTAATAATTTAAAGCTGGGACAACTTTAATTATTTTTTATAGATAATGCATATGATTGATTGAATTATATTTGGTCACGTGTGCAAATTATGCTACTTATGGAACTTAACTCCAACCATTCTAACTTTCTCTACTATACTGACGGCATATTATACCATGTTTTTTCTTTCTAAGTTGAGAATGATTTATTATATCTTATTCGGAGTATTTATATATAATTTTATATTATAAAATTGTACGAGATTTAATATTTAAAAGTGTAAATTTTACATATTATTTTTATAAATTTTATAAAATACCTAAAATAATATATAGATTCATCTTTTAAAAGTGTAAATTTTACATAATTTTTTTTTATGAATTTTATAAAATATTTAATTATAAATGATTAATTACGCTGTAATAATTATAAATTATACTTTTTTATTTATATGTAGCATACATGCTAACTAAATATCTAAGTATCACAAAAGTTCAAGCTTTTACAAGAACCTAATAAGAATGTGGGGTCAGTCCCATTCCTTTAGACCAATTAAAAATCATAAGCCTTAATCTTTGTTCTATTGAGCCTTAGATAATAAATAAAAGAGTGGAGGGTTGATATAAGTGTGTAAGTGTGGTATTGTCGAAAAAAAAAAAAAAGAAATCAAAAAAGTTAAAGAGAAAAGAGAGAAGAGAGATTTAATTGAACAAAAATTAATTTGTAATTTAATTAAATTAAAATATTGTTAGCAGGTTCAAGATTCAATATTTTATATTTTAAATGGTAGAGTCGGGTTTAAACTTTTCTAGGAATAAATTTAAGATGTATTTGTTAAGTCACTTGTTTGATAAGATTTTTTCAATTATCTCTCTACTTGTTGATTAGTTATAGTTTTAACTAGAAAAGAAAATCCGTGATTTTTTTTTCTACACTGGAGGGTTTTTTATGTAAATCTTGATGTGTTTTATTTTTTTATATTATCGATTGTTGATTGTTGTCTATTGCTATGGGTTTATTACGATATATTACTTATACGTTGTTACATTTGTCGCTTCAAGTCTAACAAGTGATATCAGAACGAGAGTTATTTTTGAAACATCGATACAAAAGCAACCCATAACAGAAATAAATTCTGTTTGAGATCATAGAGGGTGATACAGGTTCCATAATAAAATTAAAAACATCAAATTATTCAATTTGAAAGCCTATGATAAAAGATCATTTATATTGCAAAATATTTATATGAGCCAATATTGAGTGATTCGACTAAACCAGTAGATACGAAAAATAAAAGTTGAAAGAAATTAGGCAAAAAAATGTTAGCTACAATAAAAAAAACAGGTTGATATCAGTGTTTTTCATCATATAACGTAGAAGACAGATGCCCACACTATTTGAAAAAAATTGACAGCATTGTGTGAGATGAAAACAAGCATGAATAAAGTTATGCTTATTAAAAAGCTTGTAACTTTATAGTACAATGATGGACGATAAATTACAAAGCACTTAAGTAATTTTCAAAATATATTTAATTGGATGACTACTATAAAGCTTAAGATGGATGATGAAATAAAAGCATTATTTTTTTTGGATTCATTGTCAAATAGTTGAAATACTCTAGTTCTGACTGTTCTTAATTCAACTTTTGATTACAAGGTGATATTGGAGATAGTAAATGACAATATGCTTAATGGAAAAGCAAGACAAAAAAATTTAGACTCTGAAAATCAAGCTCTTATCACAAAAAATAGGGATAAAAACATTGATAGAGATCAAAACTCAAAAGGTCGTAGTAAGTCTAAACATAGATCCAAGTCTAAACATAAATGAAGTGTTTTTATTATGGTAAACCATGTCATATAAAACAATATTGTAAAATCTTGAAGCAAGAGCAAAAATATGAGAAAGGTAAGAGTTCAGATGATGACAATGTTGCAGTAGTAAATTCAAATAATGATTCAATTACATTAATTTGTATACATGGTAATTGTAATCATGTTGGTGATCCCAACATTAAGTGAAAAGCTTATACAAAAACGGCATATCGTTATGTTTTTAAGAATGAGTTGTTTACAACTTAGAAAGCAAGAGACTCCGGTTGCACCAAGATAAAAAATAAAAGTATGTCGTAAATTATTGGGATCGATGATATTGTCGTACGAATTAATATGGGTTGCATGTTAATTTTAAGGAATGTCAAACATATTCTAGATATGAGAATGAACTTGCTTGCTATTAATGTCATTGATAAGAAAGGATATCAAAGCTGATAAAAGAATGGACAGTGAAAGCTTCTCAAAAGATTTATGATAGTTATAAGAGGAAAACTATGTTGCATAACGTACAAGATATTGATGAAATGGAACAACAACCAAATAAATACCATTAAAAATGATGCTTCAGCAAATATATGGCATAATAGGCTAGCACACATAAGCAATAAAAGGTTATAGGTATCAGTAAGGTAATCTATCATTATCTTGACCAAAAGTATGTCTCTCGATTTATGTAATCATTTTTTGTTTAACAAACATCATAGAGTTTCTTTTCGTAAGCTTTCAGAGAAAAAAATAGATTAGATTAAATTCATTCTAATGTATATGGTCCTATTAAGGTTAAGTCATTGGAGGTAGTAGGTATTTTATCACTTTTATTAATAATATTTCACGTAAGATTTTGGTGTATATATTATAAAACAAAAGCAAGGTATTGTACTATTTTCAAAAATTTTATGCTATGGTGGAGAGAATAACAAGGTTGCCTTTGAAGTATATTCGAACTAATAATAGTGAAAAATACACATCTAAAAACTTTGAATAATATTGTTTAAAGCATGGGATCAAGCATGAGATGACAAAACTTGAAATATCGGAGCATAATAGTGTAGCTTAAAGGATGAACCACACCATTGTGAAAAATGTTAAATGTATGTTGAGGATGACAAAATTACCAAAGTCATTCTATGGTGAAGCAGTAAACACAACTTGTTATTTACTTAACAGATCACTATTAATTCTTTTAGGCTTTAACATTCCAAAAAATAGTGAAGACAAGAAAAGATGCTTCATACTTTAACTTAAAAATTTTGAGGTGAAAAGCATTTATGCATATGCCAAAAGAGCAGATGTTAAAACTTTATAGTAAAGCCACATAATGTGTGTTTATAGGATATGGTGATAAAAAATTTAGCTATAAAATATGAGATCCAGTGAAAGAAAGACAATTAGAAGCAGAGATATGATCTTTCATGAAAAAAAATCATAACAGACCTTAAGAAAAGTAAGAAGATTACACGGATTACTATTGAGTGTAATGTTTCAACATCAACAAAAGATCTATTGAAAAGAGTCACAGATGGTGAAAATGAGTAAGAGACAGAACTTGGAGATATGAATAAGTCAATCATAGTTAGTGATGAGCCAGATACAATCAATTTTGAGCAAGTTGAGCAATCATCTCCACCAGATAGTATTAAGCAATGAGAGCTACCTTCAACATCAAGTAGTGTAGAGTCACATCCGAAGAGATTTACTAGAAAACATCGATCATCCAGCAAGTATCCAAGTTCATATTTTATTTTAGTTACCAATGAAGAGGAGCAAAGAGCTTTCAAAATGTGTAGACTATTCTGAAGAAAGAACACTAATTAAAAGTAATGAAAGAAGAAATGGAATCATTGCAAAAAAATGGTATATATGATCTTGCTAAATTTTTGAAAAGGAATAGGCCGTTAAAGAATAAATGGATGTTCAAGATGAAAAAAAATGGTGATAAGTTAGTAAGGTATAAAGCTCAATTGATGGTGAAAGTTTTTTCTTAGAAACTCAACATTGATTTTGATGAGATCTTCTCTCTAATTGTGAAAATAAGTTCCTTTCGAGTGGTACTAAGGTTAGTTACTAGTTTAAATCTTGAGCTTGAACAACTTAATGTTAAAACTACATTCTTGCATGGTAAATTGCATGAGAACATTTATATGGATCAACCTAAGGGTTTTGAAATGAAAAAGAAAGAGCATTTAGTTTATAAATCGAAAAAAAGTTTATATGGCTTGAAACAAGCTCCGTGACAGTGGTACAATAAGTTTAATTCTTTTATAGTAAGTCACAGCTATAAAAGAATAGCAATAGACCTTGTGTGTATGTTAGAAAATTACCTAATGATAACTTCATTATTCTCTTAGTATATGTTGATGATATATTAATTATAGGACAAGATGTTGGTATGGTTCATAGGTTGAAAGAATAATTATCTAAGTCTTTTAACATGAAGGATTTAATCCAGTAAAGCATATTCTTAGTATGGATATTATCCGAGATAGAAGAGTTGAAAAGTTGTGGTTATCATAAGAAAAGTATATTGAATGGGTGCTTAGTAGATTTAACATAAAGCATGCTAAATCAATTAGCACTCCATTTGCCAACCATTTTTATTTGAGTAAGAAATCTTGTTTGGTGACTAAAGAAGAACAACTAGCTATATTTAGTATTCCTTATTCTTCTGCAGTTGGTTCTTTAATGTATCTTATGATTTGTACACACAGCTTGACATTGCTCATTCAATTGGTATGGTAAGCAGATTTCTTTCTAATTTGAAAAATATTCATTGGGAAGCAGTGAAATAGATTTTCAGGTATTTGAAAAGCACCTAAAAAATATGCTTAAGTTATGGAGTTTCACAACTAGTTTTAGAAGGGTTTATTGATGCTAACATGACAAGTGATCTTGAAGGTAAGAAATTTACTTCAAGATATTTGTTCACTTTTACAGGAGAAACTGTGTTTTGGTAGTCTAAGTTACAAAAGTGTGTTGTCTTATCAATTACATAGGCCGAGTATATTGCAACAATTGAAGTAGGAAAAGAAATGCTTTAGATGAAATATTTTTTTCTTGAATTAGGGTTGAATCAAAAAAAGTATATGGTATTTTGTAATAGCTAGAGTACTTTAGATTTGAGTAAGAATGCCATGTATCATGCTTAAACAAAGCACATTGATGTTAGATATCTCTAGTTATGTTCGGTGATTGAAAAACAACAAATGTAGTTAAAAAAAATTCATATTGATGAGAATGCAGTAGATATGTTGACTAAGATATTTTTCAAGAAAAAACTTAGGCTTTGCAATAACTTGGCCATAATGGGTTCTTTGGCCAAGGTAAGTTCTAAATAAAACTATTATTGTGATGAATCTCATCCTAATAGAACTGGAAGGGGAGATTGTTAAGAATGTGAAGTCTAACCTCATTCCTTCAGACCAATCAAATACTATAGGCCTTAATTTTTTTTTCTACTAAGCCCTATATAATAAATAAAAGAGTGGGGGCTGATTTAGGGGTGTAAGTGTGGTAGCGCCAAAAAGAAAGAAAAAAAGCCAAAAAAGGTAGAGAGAAAAAAAAAAGAAAAGAAAATTGGTTAAACAGAAGTTGATCCATAGTCCGATTGAGCTAAATTTTATCATAGGTTCAGGATTTAGTATTCTACATTCTAAACAGTGGAGATCGGGTTTGAAGCTCTCTATAAACAAATTCAATATGTATTTGTTAAGTCACTTATTTAGTGAGATTTCTCCAATTGTCTCTCTAGTTGTTAATTAGCTCTAGTTTTAGTTAGAGGAAAACTTTGTACATCCATTATTTGATAGTGAAAATTTTTCTGGTGGTTCGTGATTTTTTTACTCTATGCTAGAAAGTTTTCCATGTAAATCTTGGTATGTTTTATTTTTTCTACATTGTTGATTGTTGATTATTTTCTATTGCTGCAGTGGGTTTATTATTATATATTGCTTATGTATTGTTGTATTCATCACTTCAGCCATAATAGAACCAACTCTAGTCACCTTAACACAAGAAATTGTTTTTGCAAAAAAGACTTGAATTAAACCATTAGATCTCAAACACAAATCTTTAGAACGACAGTTAAGTATGATAGAAATGTTGTTACTGTCTTTATCAGTTTGAGCTTGATGGCTTGAGATCCTTACTGGCACGGTCACTCTCACTTGTTACTCTTAGATAACGTTTGAGGTTTTGCAGAGTTCAATTTTCTTTTAATTTTTAGTTAGATTATTGAGTGTTTTGATTTGCAGGTTTTAACTCGCACATATGCTCTCTTCTGAGTGTGAAACATCAACAGACCAAAAAAGGAAATTTCTTATGCTCATAGATTCATTAAACATCAAAGAAATTGCAATGTATGGAACTATAATAATCATGAGATCAAAGTGAGAGTAGAAAGATCACACTAACAGGTGATCATTTATTCAAGGTAAAAGTTTATTGGCGATCACCAAAACCCAGTACAACGCATCTTAAAATGAGTAGAAAGATCACACTAACAGGGGATTATTTGTTCAAGGTAACTGTTTATTGGCTAACACCCAAGTTAACCAGCAAACTGAATTAGGTCCAGTTATTTTATTGCTTCGTGGCATGCCTTTGGCAGAAGGCTTTTACCCTTGCCAGGCCTTCTTCGAGAGAAGAAGACTCAATAGCAAAAGTAATGCGAAGCCAGTTCTTCAATCCCACTGCTATCCCTACAAGATATTTTGTTTTGTTATTCTCAGAAGGCAAATCAGAAAGAAATCGTTAAAACACAATCAGTTTCCTCAAAAAGTACTTAAGGATGATTTCACCCAACTGATAGATTTGTCAAGCGTGTGCACAAAGTTTATTATTTTGTGACTAATCATAACCAAACTACTCAAATTTAAGTAGATATAACAGAATTTTCAGTGTTACCTGGTAGAATAATGACTGATTCTTCTTTAGCTAACTTCAGGCAGAACTCCATATCATCATTGATATCATCCAACATTGATAGATTCAGCTTCACCTGCAATTAAAGCCGACAAACATAAATGCTATTTCAATTTCTTTAGGCATTTGATAGTAAGAGGTGAATAATTTCCTTACCATTACAAACATTGATCCTTCTGGTTTCTTTGGGCAAGTTATGCAGGGTATTTCCTTAATTCTATTATAGCATAAGTCAGCAGTTTCCCTTAGTATGCAGATAATCTTCGAAAAAAAATCATCCTTTGTATTCTCAATGATCTGAGGAACTGCTGCCTGATTCATAAAACCCATTTACACGTCTTCATCAGGAGGATGGTGGAAAAAAGACAAGGAAAGTTTTGGATACTGAATGGTTCAAAGGCTTTTGGCAAAATAGATGAAATTGCATTCTTCCAAAGTAAATATGTGGCTCTAAACAAAAGTATATTGATTCCCGAACCTGAATAAATGTAGCTGGATCAGCGGAGATATCAAGGAATCCTATGATCGAATCAATTACCTGATAAGAGCCAATGAGATCATTAACTCAACATGGTCCGAAGTGCAAAGTCAGAACTTTATTTATTTCAACTTTCACATACGCATATAGATTCTGTAATTAGAATTATGTAACATCATATGCCTTGAACCAGAGAAAGATAAAAAAAAATCAGAGGCTAACCCCAGATTTTCGAAGAATGCCATTTGGATCACTTGTCACAAGCCAACCAAGGCGCCAGCCAGGAACAATCCATCTCTTTGATATAGACCCAAGGGTGAGAACAGGCACAATTGGCCCAAACACTCGCATTGGCACATATTGAGTGCTTCCAAATGCGATATTGTCATAAGCTTCATCAGCAATGACCAAAATCCCAAGCTTTCTAGCTGTCTCTGCAACCTAACTTTCAAAAATATAGTTATTTTCAGAAGAATAAAAAAATTATTCTAAAAGCAAAACTCAAATTGCCAAGTAAACACAAGCAGAGGCCCCTCTTCATAGTCGTTCAAGTGACAACTCATGAGAAGAGAAACAATGTCCAGCAAATCCACTACATAAGCCTTTTGAATCCTTTCTCAAAAGGATAAAACATAAACATTCTCATGTGCTAACCTTTTTTAAATGATCATACCCGAAGACATTTCCACAAGGGTTGCCTGGGTTTATAATAACCATAGCGACAGTATTCTCATCTGCAAGAGTCTCTATGGCATCAAGATCAACCTCCCAACCTTTTTCAGGAAGAAGGTCAAAATGACGGACTTCAAGATGGTTAGAAGCAGCACAAGCTTCATAGTATGGGAAGCCCGGTCGAGGAAGCAGAATGTTGGCACCAGGGCGGGAAAGAACTGCTGATACAATTTCTATCGCTTGGGTACATCCAATTGTGAGATAAACATCATCTGCCAATAATTTGTATGGAAGATCACGGTTGAGGTAATCCGCAATTGCCCTGTCAGAATTCAAACCAAACAAAATTAGATATATATATATAATTACTGAACTGTAATTTTTGCATTTTTTTGACACATGATTAAAGAGAAACATTCATGGATTTCACTAGACGAAACTGATCCATTATATGTTGCAACTTTTTAGCTCGCTGTCAGGGAAGCATGACGAAGAGAACATTTTACAAGACCACACATCTAAAAGTACATTACCCCAGCCATAATTAAGATTTGCCTGGCTATTCACCATACAACTTGAACATCAATAATTCAAGTCTCGGAGATTTGATCAGAGCATTAATCAGGAAAGGATGCTATCTCCAGTTACTTGGTGCTACTCACACATTACACCCAATACCATATCAGTCATATAAGTTCATTGAAGTATATATGACTTAAATTCAAAAAGAAACATTATTCCTCAACTACCCTTACCCTGCCCCTGCTGTGCAACAAGGTACTAAGAACTGTGCACCAAGCCAGATGGAAAAGAACAGCAGCCCCCTGTTCTTTCCATTCCTTAATAATTTCCTTCAGGAACTGATGTCTCCTTTAACTTTTGAACATATTCTCTTATCTAATTTTTGAGCATCCTCTTAGAATATGAAAATTTGTGGACAACTTTAGTAGTTTATATAAAAATGAAATAAACTGTTCAAAGAGTAGAATAAAAAGTCCATCCTTTCTGAATTTAAGTATTAATAAATTCATCTTAAAAATTCAAATTACTGTTGGAATAACTAATCCAAGAGCTTCTAATATTAGTTCAATTGAAAATTTTCTATTCATCAATCATTATTAAAGTCAGGCATTCAAAAAAATAGAGGAGCAGGACAAGCGTAGAAAAGAGAAAAGTCGACATAGAGAAAAAAAAAAAAAAAACAATTCATGCAATAAAACAAAATGATTAATATACAAAATCACTCAAAAAAAAAAAAAAAAGAAGAGAAAAGAAAGAGAACTAGTACTAAGAAAGAATTTCAAACTCACCTCCTTGCTGGAAGAATACCAACAGTTGGCGCATAACAATTATATTTACCCGACCCTACGGCGTCAACGATGGCATCTACGGCTGCAGGGGTAGTCCTGAAGCTCGGAAAATGAGAGGGGTCGCCATGACCAAGAGGAATGATCGGCCTGCTATCATCTTTGTTGATGTTGCCCATTAACATGTTGAGGAATCCTCGGACGGTGATGGCTGCCGCTGCGTTCAGCTCCTGCTTCCCTTGAAAACCCCATTTATTTGGTCCGTTCTCCATCGTCGTCTTTGTCCTTACTTGTCTTGCGAATTACGATGGAGTTGGAGGTTTGAGTTGCTGTGCTTCTAGGGCTTCCGCAACTCCCCGCGTGTAGAACCAAAATATGTGACCACAGACGAATGAATAATCAATGCAAGCTACCAAATATTAGGCCAGGTTGAGCATAATGCCAATTAAACATCTTCTTCTTTTTTATTTTTTAATTATTATTTCTTATATTTTATGTTTGTCACGTCGTGCTATTTGAAAATTGATGGAAGAAAAATAAAAATAATAATAATAATTTTAGCTCACATGTTTACACATTCAAAATATATTTAATTATTCTTTAAAAAAATATATTTAATTATTAAATCTCAAGAAATGACAATAAATTATTAAAATATTCTAAATTAAGGATATTTTAAATTTCCTAAAATATAGAATTAAATTATTATAATATTGACTTGTGATTAAATAATATAATAAGAAACATCTCTATACTAATACTCAAAGTAAAATAAAAAATGTCAAGTGATTAAAAAATTATGAAGTTGTTAATAATCACATCAAACGCATTAAAAAAAATTCAAATAGGTCATTCTTACATTAAACACAAATATTTATTGTAAGATATTCACTATAAAATATTGATAGAATTATTAATTTTACTAATGAAAATAATGTATATGAGAAAATTTTGAGATGTTTGAAAAAAATTTTATTCAAATTTTCTTATTTTTCAATTTTTAGAATTTTTAAAGAAAAATTTTACTCAAAATTTTTATTGTTTTTATCTTTTACTAATATTTTTTAATATCTTAATAATCCATTTAAATCTATCCTTAGGCATACAAAATCTTTTTAGTCTTATACGCGAAATTAAAAAGTTTTGTGATTAATTTATAAAAAATGAAGTAACAAATTTTAAATCTTATATTTAGAAATGAAAGTAACTTAGTGACACTTGCTAATATTATTTTTTATTCTAAATTACATTAAAATATTTACAGTAAAATATATTCAAATTTAGCATATAAAATACATTATATATATAATTAACTCAATTCCAATTCTTCTTCCTTCGAAATTAGTTGTACACTTTGTACCACCTATTTATCAAAAGATATTCACATTTTAAACATTAATGAAAAGTGCAAACGCTTTTTGAATTATCAGGTGGAGCCCACTGTTAAAGAGAGAACAGTAACTGAGATGATACGACACAAGGGACAGAGGGGGACAGCAAAAATGCCCTTGCTTTCCGAGCCTTCAAATCAATCACATGGTTAACTTTTTATTTATTTTAATTTTTCTAAAAAAATTTAACCGAAGTGAAATTTTAAATTTAAAAAAAAATTAATTTTTAAGAAAGTATGATATTTAAGGTTTTTTTTAATTTTTTGAATATTTTCTGTTTAGATTTATTTGTTTAGTTGTAAAATTTTACATATATTAATTTTTATATAATTATCATAATATTTTTAACATATATAATGATAACTTATAATTTTATTTTATTAATAATAAATATCTAAACGATAAATGATATTTTTAGCAAAAAAATAAATATTTTAATTTATTATTATTTTTATTTATAAAATATTATCAATTAAAACATTAATAAACATTAATGCCTTAATTGATAGAAAAAATAATTAGAAAAATGATAAATTAAAGTGTTTGGTTATAAAAGCACTTTAATTGATCTTGTTTATAACTTTATAAAAAAATCAATTAAGACATTTGTGTAACCAAATACCTTAATTGATCATATTTATAAAAAGGATCAATTAAGGTATTTTTGTAACTAAATGCCTTAATTGATTTTTTTTATAATTATAATATAGATCAATTAAGGTGTTTGTTTAATAAAACGTCTTAATTGATCTTCGTTATAAATTTATAAATAGATCAATTAAGACATTTATTTATACAAATGTTTTAATTGATTTTTTTAAAATTTATTAATTAAGGTATTTATGTATAAAAACACCTTAATGATTATTAATTAAAAATTATATTTTATATCAATTAAGGTGTTTTCTATATAGAAATGTCATATTTGAATTAAAATAACTTTTAAAACCAATCAATTAAGGCACTTGTATACACAAACGCCTTAATTGATCATTTTAAAAGATTCATTCTTCATTCCTGAACCTTGAAAAACTAAACAGCTAATACAATTAAACAATAAAATGCTACAATGCGTGTATTTCCTTAAACCTATCAACCTTTTAACCTTGCATTTTGGTTTCTTCATTTCTCTCGTCGCCAACGACTGTAAATCACTCAACGCCATCACACATAGTTTTACCAGGTATGTGCAAATTTTATCCTTGTTGTGCAATTTTATTCTTCAATATATGTCATTTTTGTCTTTCCTTACTATATATAGTTTTTTTTTTATTTTTATAAGCACTCACCACCATCAGTTACATCACACACCCTCTATGCATTGCATGCATGGTGTTTTCTTGGTTATTTGGTTTGAGTATTGTGATTTACTGAATGATTTTTATGCAAAATAATTGTTATATTTTTACTCATTTATTTTGCATAGAACTCTTATGATATGATGAAACATAATATGGCTTGCACTTGTATAATATTATTAGTTTTATTATGTTTTATGTATATTTGTTATTTACTGTAATGAATATTGGTTGTTTTTACTGTATGAGATATATAGAAAGACAATTTGATATATTTCGTATAATTTTGATCAAAATTGCAGTTATTATGGCATCTGAAGAATATATGTCTCCTTCTACTGAACATGAAAAAGATACACCCGTAGTGAAAAAAAGAAAATAAAAGAGACATGATAAACAAATTAAAGCGACTGAGACAAAAATTCACATCGAGTTCAATCAAAATAGGTAACATGTGTTAATTAGAGATGCAAAATTGGCTAGTCACATTGGAGCTATCGTTCAATGTAGTATATCTATTATGTACCATAATTAATGGATGGTTCCTGATGATAAAAAGGATAGCATATGGAATTCGGATTATGGTATGTTTATTCAATAATATCCAAAATTTTGTTAATTGTCAATTAAGTTCAATTACTATGTTGAATTTAATGTATTCAATTTATTAGGAACTGTTTGGCATCCTAACTGAGTGTAAAAAACTTATGTTGCAATCAGTTGAAAAAGTATTCAAAGTTTAAGAGTAGATTAACAACCCAATATATTTTACCGTTTGCTGATAATTCTGAATTATTGGTCGATCTTCCAACGACATATGCAGATGTTATCAGTTACAAAGAGTGGTCGTAATTTATTCTAGATCATCTATTAGATGAATTCTCGATATGTATACCCAGTTTGTTAATTGTTTATAATATTTTGTTTAATATATTTAATATCTTAACATGTGATTTTTTTTTTCTAAAAAATCAAAGAACAACAAAAAAAAACATTCAAGCTAAATAATTATATCATCATTGAACATCGAGAAAGGGTTATACAAATGTCAAGTATGATCTTGTAAGTATTCAAACGCTTGTTTTATACTCGTATGTGAATATTTATGAACATGTAAACATAGATTAAGGAACTTATATTGATTTTTTTATAAGAATCATCTAGCTATGGAACTAAAGCTTCTAGATGGGATATGTGAAAAAAAGACATATGCTCAAAGATGGATTGTTCATAGATGAAGTAACTAAAGAAATGGCTAAAAAGATTATAAGTTTAATTTGTTATTTTATCACGTATGATGAACTACCTTGTATGCATGACTATATATTATATATGGTTTTTTATGCACCATCATTTTATGTTTCAAGATGAATATGCTACCAGATATGAATCTGGTGAACTGCCAATTGGTTATGACAAAGATCCATTATCATGAGCATTAGGATCCAAAGACAGATATGGTCGAGTTCAGAGGGTTAGTAGATTTGTGCCGCCATCATAGTTCTTCAAGAATCAACCCAAACCCTGTTTAATGAAAAATGCAAAACATGAAGCAATCATTTAGCAGCAATAGCAAAGACATTATTAGTAAAAGTAACACCTGAATAATCAATATCAATAGCTCGTAGCTTTAGAGGCAATGTTAGTAGCAATGCAACCTAAGATGCCTCGAGGGTAGTTTCTTATCGACATCCAATAGGGAAATGATTTTGCGAATCAAGTCTTGAAGCAAACCCAAACTTCAATAATCATCATTATTTTTAGTTTGTTTATTCATTTAATAATTAATTTGTATTTTATAGTTTTTGAATTGGTTTAATACTTATATTTCATACTCTTTTGTAACAGGATGTTTAGACTTAGACGATGACCCCTACAGAGTCTGCCATTAATGTGTTATCTAGTTATGCGCTTTATCATTTATTAAGAGGAAACGTCATTGTCATTGAAAAAAGTATGGGTTATTTGTTCATCCATCGATGTCTTATCTTGAGGGGCTAAAAATTAAGGCATTTGGTATGTTGGGTAAGATATCAGCTTCTGATATTATCGTGTATATGAGGTTAGCTTATCAATTAATTTAAATATATTCTGTCAATATCAATTATTCTATATTAGGTGGTATTATTAAATTGTACTGCTAATTATGATCATGCCACATTTTATACAAAAGGATAAATGAGAGACAAATGACCCATAGATTTAGATTTGTTGACCTAAATTTGATTAATCATAAAAGTGGCATTATCGCTATTCATTTTCGTTATGTCGTTAATGCATGCAAAAACCAGTCGATTATTTTTTGGTGCCTTATAATGCTACATAAGTTCTATTTGTGGTAATAATTGTATCATTTATGACATCTAATATCATATCTATTATTTTTATATCATGCCTATTATTTTGTAGGCGTCATTGGTAGCTTATTGTAATTGATACTAATTCATGGATGCCATACTCATTTAACTCCGCTCAACCAATGATTCTACCTAAACCCGATATTGCCAATTTAATAAAGAGGTATTATATTTTATTAATAAGTGATAATTATATTAAATTATGTTTTTTTGTAATTACTATTATTTTTTGTTTATTATTGTTTTTTCTGTTTAATTTAGGGGAATGGCTATAGTTTATAAAAATAAAAAGTTCAATTGGCTGTCATTACCGGTAAGTATAATATATATTTCTTTATGCCAAGTTTATTTAGATAAATGTTTACCAGCCCACTTAATTATATTTTTAAGGTTCCTCGTCAACCAGGAGTTACCGAATATGGATATTATGTCC